GTCGGTTATGCATATAACAGGTGGTGATTTGTAGATGGTTAACATGAGTCGCCTTGGTTGAGAGACCAATCTACCCTAAAACAAAGGTGCTTTACCGAACTGTAAAAAATATCTGCCCAGGCAGGAAGAACTGTCAAAAAAACGCGTTTAAATGCGTTAAGATCCTGTAATAACACCGTTTTAACGATAAACTAGCGTTAAAACGCGTTGCACCGTACGAACTTGTTAAAATGCATCTTGTAAAGAAAAACCTACGTGTTTTTATCCGCTTTCTTGAAAGTTTTTACATGTTATTTCACGTTTAAAGCTGTTAACATATTTTAACATAATATTTTCGCATAAAAAACTCGTTTTATTTATTTGTTCTCTAACTAGTTTCAGCGCGTTGAAATCTAAATCGTCATATCTTGTTGCTTTAATAGGATTTAACGTATTCATACATATATACTACTTCATAAAAATTAAAACAGAATTTTCATTTGAAGAAAGTAGGCTTGTTTTAGTATTTGTATAGCGCATATGAAGCTATTTATATGTTGAAACTGATTTATCAACAAGATCCAGCAGTATTCACACGTCCAACAAGGATATTCGAGAAATTTTCGGAATTTCTTTTTGAAAATCCGAATATGCTTTTGTGAAAGACAAATTTAAACAATTTTATATTATTATATAATAGCAATGAGAAAAAAATAGAGTGAGTGAATGTTTCATTTAGAACAAAAAGTAAAATAGTAGTGAATATAGGGTCGTACAACTCGCGCTGCATCGCTCACGCTCATATTAGCGCTCATGGTGAGCGTTTCTTCCTTGACTTCAATATATAAGGTACAGGGATGCACCAGTCCCAGTCGCGATTGGTCGACTGGTACTAGTCACGACTGTTCTACTTCAGGTCCTATATAAGGGAGATACCTAAGACTCCTGCAGTCTTGTATAAGAGAGGTGTCTAGGACCCTTGAAGTCCTATACAAGGGAGATAACTAAGACCCCTGAAGTCTTACATAAGGGAGATACTTAGCGTACCTTCTTTATACAGGACTCGAGCTACCCTAGATACCTCCATTGTATAGGATTTTAGAGGTCTTAGGTATCTCCATTATATAGGACTTCAAGGGTCTTAGGCAACTCTCTTATATAAGACTTCAGGGATCTTAGGTATCTCCCTTATATAGGACTTGAAGTAGACCCAGTCGTGACTAGTACCGGTCGACCAATCGCAACTGGGACTGCTGCACCTCGATACCTTGCATATTCGAGTCAAAGAATAAACACTCACGCTCATGAGCGCTCATATGAGCGTGAGCTGTACACCCCTAAGTGAATAGTTCAAAATAAATATTTACGTGGATTCTAAAAGATTAGGAAATATCTGAAATCGACATATGATGCGCGAATTCTCATCAATTTGATATACAACTTTTCTTTTGACAAATTCAAATTTCAAAGAAAGCCTTTGGTGAGATAAGAAAAGTAGCAGCAATATATACATCATTAATGCATTCTATACCATCTAATGTAAAAGAATCCCAATCATTGATGTTTGCTTTGTCAATTATAAATATAATTACATCAGGTGCTTTTAATTTTACAATACCAACGATTATGCCGAGATGAGGTGTATTGGATTGATCCGAATAGATTACAGCCGAGTCATCCACTTGATTAGTATCTGATCAATGAATCCAGAATGATGTTTTCTGATAAAAAAAATGAATGGTGTGCATTGTCCTTCACCATAATTAGTATTAAGATAAGCGAACATGTGTGAAAATTTGATGAATGTGACTCGACTAAGATGAAGACCACTATTTTGTTTTCATAACTTGGAACGACACATTTCTTTGATGCAAGAATTTGCTTTATCAACAATCTTATTCTTTTATGAAATGAGGAGTCTTGAAGAATCGTTGTTGTTTATATTATATACTCAAGGTTATTTACCAATTCTGTTAACACTAATAATGTATCACGTGTGGACTTTACAACTGCTTCTGATTAATTCAAAATATATGGCAGATAATTTTAATAAAAGCCTATATCTCAATAAGAAATAGTGTTGATAATATTTACTCTTTAACGAGATATCGATCCGCACAATTTTTTTCAAAAAGTGGAATATTTGATTGGTATTATTAAATAGAAGGATAGTTATCTATCATTACAATATTTATCGCCTTATCTATCATTTACAATAAAGTATTTCATAAGACTACTAAATTCTTTTCATATTGTCTAGTTTCGCAATATTTTGTCATAAAATATATAAAAAAATTGATTATATGCGTGCAAAGACAAACGCATTTATCAGTCTTTTTCTTAAGAAAATCTTTGGGTTTAAAACGGTCGTGGCTATTTGGCTTGTAATCTTTGCGATAAGCTGTGAAAAATATTTTTAGATAAATGTCTAAAATAATTTTGTTTTCAAATAAAAAACAGCATACGATTTGCATCCAGTAAATATAAAAGAAAGAAACGCGTTTTATTTGAGCGCCCTCGATGGACGATGTAGACTAGTTTTCCAAACTCTGTGCTGTCTCTAGAAATTTTCAGTGCAGTGGAAAACTTAGGTTGCAACACTTTTATCATCATTAGACCTACAATTAAAAGAGATATTTTGAAGCATGGTAAGACAATTTTGATGTGCTCCAGACACATTAACGTGTTAAAAACTGTATTTTTTTGTTTTTTCCACTAACTTCGCGTTCTGATTTTTTTCTTCAATTGATGATCTCTTCATTTTTATTCATATTTTTATAGATTCTTTTCGCTTTATCAGTTCCATGTCCAGTACTTAGCCTTTTTCTTTTGATATCCTCTTGCAATTTCACATCTTTTATCTATTTTTATTCTCCTTCAATCTTTCTTGGAAACTAACATTATCATCTTTCTTCAAGTGAACTTGAGATCAAGATGACCCACAGACAGATATTCCCTAATAAAGAGTTAGAGAAGGTAGAAAAAGAACAAAGATGAGAAGTGAATTCTACAGGAAGAAAGGACAATTGATTAGCTGAAAATTACTGGAGAGTTAGATATGGTTATTTTCTTGATATTTTAATCCTGTTCCAGTTCTATCCCATAACCGTATTAGTTCATCACTATTTCTCGTCAATTTATTTGGTTCAAGATAAATTGACAAGAAATAGTAGTGAACTAATACCGTTATGGGATAGAACTGGAACAGGATTAAAACATCAAGAAAATAACCATATCTAACTCCCCAGTAATTTTCAGCTAATCAATTGTCCCTTCTTCCTGTGGAATTCATTTAAAATCAAGATAAAATGTGTAAAAACGTGTTAAAATATAAAACGCCATAAAAACGAGTTGAAAAACGTAACGAAAGTAATACTGTAATTTTGCACGATTTTATCAGTTATTACGGGTTCGAATTTGAAACGAGTAAAAACTTGCTAAAAAATCGCAAAACGTTGCTAACAGGTTAAAATGTGCGGTTTTCAGGATTTGGAACGCGTTTAGTTTTCATGAGTTTTAAAGTGTTTTTTCGTTAATTTTTACTGCCTGGGTACAGAGATGTACAGAACCTAAAAAACAGTTTTTAGATGTGCGAAAATTTTAGAGTTTTGTATTAAACCTTACTGGATTCGTACTAAACCCTAAAGGTTTAAAACAAAACCATTAGAGTTTAATACGAAACTCTAAAGATTTCGCATTTGCCTACGAAACCTTTTTCTGCACTATGGAACTTAAGAAAGGCTTCGTATTAGAAGATTCTATCCCTCAACACCCGGTCAGACAAAATTTTTCAAAAACGCGTTTAAACGCTACAATTGGGAACCGCGATTGTGACCCATTCACGCTCAAAAACAAAACGCCGTTTTTCACGTTTTTTGCGTTTTTTTGCATTTAATTTTCACTTTCAGAGTCTGAAAACGGTCAAAAATTCAAAAAATGAGCGTTAAAACGTATCGTTTTTATGTTTGAGAAAAGTATAGAAATAAAGGCACGTTTTAACACTAAAAATTGGAGCTTTTCCCCTTTTTCACGCTCTAAAAGTGAAAATCAAACGCAAAAAACCGCGAAAAACGGCGTTTTGTTTTTAAGCGTGAATGGGTCACAATCGCGGTTCCCGATTGTAGCGTTTAAACGCGTTTTTGAAAAATTTTGTCTGACCGGGCACACGACAAGAGCCTTTAAAGGTTTCGTACATCTGAAAAACCATTTTTAGGTTCTGTACGTGTCTGCAAACATTGTTGGGGTTCGATGAAACACCTTTTTTAGAGTGTAAAATATTAGAAAAGGGCATATTAAATGTCTAAACACTGCAAAAAACAGAGAAACGGATAATATCAAAAATATCATGAAAATGTGGAGTTGGTTCAAAACTGTGATTGAAAAAAGTGTAATCAATCAAAAAGTCACTCAATCAAAACAAACTGAACACTATTTTAGAGTCGTTCACTGGATACTGCACATTGTTGACGGTTCATTATCCTTACTCTTCTCTAATATTGAGGTAACTTCCCTGAAAGCTTCGAGGTCGCCATTTTTTATTGCAGCTTCAGCAGCTAATCTCACACTATGTTGGATATAATGATGAGTTTCTGGCACTACTTTCCGGAAAGTATTCAATGCATCAATGCATATTTTATATGCTAAATCATATCTTTCTTGATGACTGAATATTCGTGCAATTGACAAAAGATATCCCGGACCAGTCGAATATTCTGATTTTGGGGCTTTGGCGTCCAGTACACAAGCAGTTTCATATTGCATTAAAGCAGTATTGAACCGACCAGTTTTTTCATAACATTGACCAATTCGGCAAACTAGTTGTGCTTGCATTATGTAGTTATCCAGTTGATTTTCTTGAGCATAATTCAAAGCAGCCTTGAAGATAGCCATTGCTTTTAACGTTTCACCACTAGCAAGATAGCAATCTCCCAGCATTTTAGAGGTGCAAACATAGTCTCGTTTTTTCGGCGGCTCATCGTGTTGCTGCATTTGGATTGCTTCACTAAATAATAAAATTGCTACACTAGGATCTGCTGTAGTGTAGGTAAAAGCGCGAGCAGCTAGAAGATCCTCCATTGCACCACCGCTATCCGTCACCAATAAATGTTCAAAGTATTTAGATCCATTTTCTGCGTTCATACTGCTAAGCAACAGATGACAAATTTCAAATGAGTCCCCACATATTTCCTTCTGAGAATCATGATATTTTCGAGCTAACTTTTCACCGTCGTTTGTTGCAGTGAGTTGCACACAGTAGGCAGTATCAAGTTCAGTTAACCCCAGTGAGGTGATATCATCAATTGTGAATACTGATGCCATATCCAACAGTACACGATCATCGCTAACATTACAGTATTTAGTCGCACCCATTCGAGTATCAACTTTGAGAAGGAATACAGCTGAAAACTTTTTGTCACAGTTTTTTCGATCATTCCAAGCTGCAGGTATTGCCTTTTGACAGGATCGGTTACATAACAAAAATCCTTTTAGTGCTAGTAATTGTTTCACATTTTGTTTTATTTGATTCAGTTGATCATGTGACAGTCGTGTGGTAAAAGAAAATGTTACATTTTCACCTTTCTTATATTCGTCACTTGTTTCAAATTTGCTTTTAATATAATTTCTTAGATCAACGATATACGCTTGAAATGGGATTAATATTTCAAAGTCGTTATGAGCAAAGGCTTTTTTAAGTAATCGTTGAACGAACGTATCTTCGGTATACCACTGTACAAGTGTATCATCAGATGCCATAAGAGACTTTTCGAATTCATCGATACGTTGAAGTTCAACTTTATTTTCGTAATAATATTCTCGACACAAATGTAACAGTTGTTTGGTACTGTAGTTTTTGTCGTTTGTGTACGATGATAAATGAAGTTTTAGTACTTGTGAAATCATAAACGATATATCAGTAGGCGTCAAATAATAGTATGCTTTAATGTCAGATAAACACGTATTAAATGAAAATGAACGTTGCCTTGATCGAGCTATAACATTTATTAGGTCTGTCTTCATAGCATTTGGATCGGTATAGATGCCAACGATTTTTGGACAGCTTTCAATTAATCCATCTTTATTTTTGTTATCCTCGGGCTGTTGATATAAAAAGATAGAATGAACACATTCGATATTATGTAGTCTGCGTATGAGGTAGGTTGGACAAAAATGCTTAATGATCAGAAAGATATCTTCGTTTTCAACTGAATTCAAATATTTAAAGCATGTTCTACTAGCATTGAAATACACAAAATTATGATTTATTGATGAGTGTTCATCTTCGGTGTAAATAGGAATCATTAGATTTGACATAGTAACATCCACACAGACTAAAATAGATTCTTCTTTATTACTCGTTGTTTTTCGTCCCACACTCCATCCATCACCAGGTGTCGACCGCGTAAGTTTAACATGACCAATGTATTCACATTTTTCAGTTGGACGGTTATACCAAAGCCCGAAATTCATTATTCACTCTCGCTGAAATAGTATCATAAAAACACAAGAACAGTCAAGCACAGTTGTTTGCTCAATTTACGCGCTTGGGGCAGGTGAAATTGAAAAGGACCAAAATGATTTATCATTTAAGTAAAAACCTTTCAGCGCATTTTCCACGGTACTGAAATGTGAAGCACGGTAAAGCCGCTTTGATGGTGTAAGAGCATCCTCACCACATTTATTACAGTGTGCATTGGGTCAAAGCAGCAGCATATCGAAATGTCTACTACAGTCTGTGACGAGGGTCAAACGACCATATCGCCAGAGAGTAAGCAGCTTCTTGGACTTCAGGGTTTCAAATCCATTAAAAAAACGATAATCAATTTAAAAAACTAAATGATCCGAGGTTTAAAAATAGAAAAGACGAAAGGTCCGCTTTCTTCTTGCTATACTGACATATCTGTTACAGCCTCTTGGAGCAGGATGGAGGGTTCACTTTCCTTGCTATATACTTCAACACTCATTGACAATCGTGTTCTACAAAAGTTTGTCAAACAACTTCAAAGCATCCGCATGTCGAAAGGTACTAATCAAATACTAGTTTTTACTAGAAGTACAGTAGGTTACGGCCTGAAAATTCTTAGTTATGCTTCCTGGACGATGGATTTTCATTCTTCGGAGCTGAAAGCATGAGTAGTGTAGAAGTCGAATCGACTTTTCGACTTTCTAATGCCTGCTGGTAAAGGGTCCGGGCACGCTCATGCATCACAATACCTATTCGTAAAGCTTTCTAAATGCTTAATAATACGTCTATGTCGGAACCTTGTTGTTAAGAATAGTCGAAAAGTGGAAAAGTCGAATACTCGAAAGGTCGAAACGACTTTTCTATTGTACATGTTGTTAGCATCGGAACACTCATCTCGGATGCTCAAGGGAGATTAGATTCGCTTTCTAGTTCAATTGGCAAGGACGTCTGCCAGAACATCAGGAGGTGCATGGTTCGAGTTGTGCGAAGGGGTCATCTTTTTCTGTGTTCTGTTGTCATCGCACCTCGTTGCTTAGTCCCACTCGCTCACGACATCTGGAGCTGACACATGCATAGAAAGCATACGTTTGCTGAGCTTTTTTTATATCGAATAGTTCTTCAATTATATTTTGACTAAATCCATGGGATCTCAACTACTTTTTGAAAAAAAAATTTCGCAATTCTATTCGGCCAGTTCAACGGGAAATGATGGAAAAAGATGTGTAGCCTGGGGGAAATTTTTCTTGTATCTAAAGTTTCGAGAATCAGCTCGTTTTTTCGGAACATCATAGAGCAAAACGAGCTGAATCTCGAAGCTTTAGGTACAAGAAAAAATTTCTCCTAGTTACACACCGTTTCCGATCATTTCCCATCGAACTGGTCGAACCGATTCGCGAAGTGCTTTTTTTTCAAGAAGTGGTTGAGATCCCATAGATTTGCTCTCTTACTATTAAAAATTTTCGAATAAAAATTGCCAGATTTAAAAGAAATACATGGAAATACATATGCACTGTGTCTACTACGTCAACAGACGAGGTGAAAATCTTTGCTCTCGCGCGAGCATTTGGGAAAGAATAACTGCTAAAAAAGGAGAAAGAAAGCGATGACCAACACACATATTTATGTCACAAATTTGAATGCAATTGTGTTCGAGAAAACATACATGTCTTTTGTATAGCACCACTCGAATGAATTCTTTAGTCGATTCGCCTGCATCAGACGTGCTTAATACATCTACAACAGATAAAAGTGAATGTAATATCGACAATCAGCTCAATTCAAGAAAGAGAAACGTGCAATGATATGAATATGTGTTGAATCTTGTATTCGAAGAAAACAGATATAATTCTGAATGGAAAAGAGAAATAATATAACTAAGCTGTTGACGTTGAGGTCTTATTTAACCAAGCTTGCACTTCAAGTATATTCTGATGTGTAGATCGCACAGTTTTTTTCAAAATGAAGAATGCGTCCTGGAAACATTCATGTGCAAGGTCAAATCGTCGAAGCATAAAATAAACTTTACCAATACAAATAAACAGTTCGCCGATGCGCGGATGTATTATTGGATACTGCGCCGTATATGAATCCAGGGCTTTATCAAAAAAGTCTAGTGACTTGTCATAATGCCTTTGGTTACTAGATGCTACTGCAGCTTTCAAATGTAATAAACCGAAAGTATTCTGGATTGAGCCTATCAATGGCGCTATAAATTCATTTAGTGAACTGTACAAACGACTTGCTTTGTGTATCGATTCTTCAGCTTCACTGAGTCTGTCGGTCATGATATATAGATTGGATAAAGTATCCAAATTGCGAGTTAACGATTCGATATGATCGTTTGATTCAAATATGTCTTTTGAGCGCATCAACAATTTCTCTGAATAGTCATAGTCCCCTAATCGTAGGTGAATGCAACCAAGTTGATACAGGCAGAAAGCTCTGTTATAACTGTCATTCATGTATTGTAATAGATAAAGAAAATAAGATCGGGCTTTATCATACTCTCCAGCTTCAAATAAAAGTTCGCCGAATTGTATTTCCCTTGGTATGGGATGCACATTGCTTTGGTGATACATAAAGAATTCCCAGCCGTCTACTCTTCCACACTCGCTTGCAATCAAATGAATAATCCAAACGTTAGAATTACTATCACTAGGTTCATGAACATTCGATACTTTGAAAGCACTTGCGAAATCAAATAGTATTTCTTTCTCGTGGGGCATATCACTGTACTTTGATATATCAGCGAATACGATATTAAAGTCTGTTCGTTCTGTGTCAGCATCGATTTCAAATAGGACACTATGAGTGTCGGCTCTTTTCGACTCTTTGACTGCCAGACGTAGAGCATATTCACGCAATCGACTGCACGACAAATATCCGTTACATGAAATCAGCTTACCAGTATTCGATATTAGTCTCTCAATTTCACTTGACGTCAGTCGTGCGCCACGATACAACTTTAGCAATTTTGTTCCTTCTCCAACTGTTATTTCTTCCTTTAATTTTGTATTTTCCAATTTTAATGTTTCGGATAAATCGCTAATGTAATAACGAAAAATAAATAATGCCAAAATATCTTCCGTACGAAGAGCTTTATTGATCAATTTATAAATGAATGTGTCTCTCGTGTACCATCGAATAGCATTGACTGGTTTATAATCCTTTTCAAACTCATCAATATACTTTTTCTCATGCTCTCCACGCTTGCTACTCTCAGGATACTGTTTACGAGCAAATTCAACCATTTGGTTTTTGCCTAACGATAAAATTTGTTCGGAGTCACTCAAATTCAGTCTGTATTCGTGCTAAAAGAGAAAATTTTACTTCGTAAAGCTGTAGTTGCATCTTTAAGAGAGCCCCCATGACGCCATCGAGAAATCAGAGCACTCCTCAAAACGTAAATTTTTGATTTAATAATCTCATCTTGTTCAGCATCATCTAAAACCGCTAAATTCAATTTTTTAGCGTTTTTAGATGAGCTGATGAAAAGTTAATCCAATTTTACTGTCGAGTACTTACGAGGATATTTCGGGAATATTCTCAAAAATCATCTCTATAAAGGCGAATTTTTTAAGCTAACAAAATATTAACGAAATGTTTAGTGTTATATACCAAAAGACAGAATCAAATACTAAACAAAATGAGCTATTTACATGTTTTATTTCAATGGACTAATCTAAAATTATATGCTAAATACTGGCTGTGGAACTACTTATTTTTCACATAAAATCGTGTCGACGTTTTACAATGTATTAGCTGCCATTCAGTCATTTTATGAGATCCCAGAATGAATTTGAGATATGTTGTGAAGGTTTTTCTCCTCTAAAAAATGCTAGAAAAGAAGTTTAAAAAACGTTTTCCATCGAGCCAAAAATTGGCTCACATTAGTCTCATATTTGATCGTTTTTGATGGGTTTTCAATAAAAACCAGACATTTTTAGGAATTTGTATTCCCATGAGACAATTGTATAGCAAAATGGATATGATATTCGGAATCAGCATTAAAAACTGGATCAAATCACATATAATTTGAAATTTTGTTTTTCACCAAAAATTCACCTGTGGTCCCTAACAGCTCTATTTTTCAAAAAATGTTGTCCCTTATCCCCTACGAGGCATTGCACCTAAGCCATGAACTTTTTCTGTATAACGTTGCGCAATCATTATCACCAATTTCGCTGATATTTTTACAGTAGGTAGACCCAAGATAGTTAGGAAGAATTCCAAAATTTTAGCTCACGAGGGAACCGATTCAACTGATAAATGGCTTTTGAGTTGGGACACTGAGCGCAAGATAGATCCCAATGAGATATAATAAACCACAAAAGGATGAGTCCCCATACGTCTTTTCTCCAGAATTGTAACGATTTTACTGGAATTTCAGCCTATATTTACGATATATACTGAAAAATCGAATGACAGTATTTAAAAC